ATTTTTTTGCACCCTCAGATTCCAGATTTTCAATAGTTGTATCTCGGCCAGATATTGTCCTATCCTAACAAACCAAACATCAATGGAAATCTTATGTATTCAGCTTTCAGATGATGTGTACATCTCAATTTCGAGAAATTGACCCTTATGACTGGTTTTGTGGTCCAGGGTCACAAATGTTTTCCCACACTGTTCAATAAAAAGATGTGCAATACCACTTTTGTTTACTTGATACTACCCCATATCTTATTCCATTCCTTGTAAATTCTATTCTGTTCCATCTATATACCACAACTGTACATACAAATTTTGTATATTTCAATTTAATATATATATACAGTTGTGCACATAAGTTTACATACCCCTTGAAGAATATGCAAAATGTCAATAATTTTCACAAAATAAGAGGGATCATGAAAATCGCATGTTATTTTTTATTTAGTAATGTCTTGAATAAGCTATTTCACATACCAAAGAATGTGCAGGAGCTGGAGGATTTTTCAGAAGAACAGCAGGCAGTTGAACTGTTCAGGACAAACAAGGGACTCATGAACAACTAACACAACATAAAAACAGTCGTGGATCATCCAGGAAATTTTTACAAATTGAGTTATTATTTTGTCTTGTGGAGTATATATAAACATCTGTAATGTGAAATAGCTTATTCAAGACAGTACTAAATAAAAAATAACATGCAATTTTCATGATCCCTCTTATTTTGTTAAAATTATGAACATTTAGCATATTCTTCAAGGGGTATGTAAACTTATGTGCACAACTGTATATATATATACATACACCCATATCATGTGACACTGAAGACTGGAGTAATGATGCTGAAAATTTTAGCTTTTCATCACAGGAATAAATTACATTTTTAATTTTTATAATTATAATCACATAGAAAACAGTTATTTTAAATTGTAATAATATTTCAGAATATCACTGTTTTTACTGTATCTTGTTGAACAAATAAATGCAGCCTTGGTGAGCAGAAGAGACTTCTTTCAAAAACATAAACTATTCTAAATTATTCCAAACTTTTAATCGCTAGTGTTTTTTCCAGACCTAAAAAAAAAGTTCTGGAATTGGTGCTATACATAATGTTCAACAATCACATATTGGGTCGTTCACATGAAAATCACAATCTGAAAAATCTATATTTTAACCAACCCTAGTAATGAAAGCCTCTGTCTTTGTCCTCCTCAGGTGACTTATCAGGTGATTCCAGTCTCAGATCAGTGACTGAAGAGTAGAGGTGAAGTCGAAGGGCAAGTTAATGTGGTCTCTACATCCAACCTCACTGGATCCCAGCAGGTATGTAATCAACACTTGTCACCATGGCAACCAGCTCGGTCCCAGCATCAGCACCACTTTTTCTCCACATCCCATTTGCTTATACTTCTTCATTATGTTGTGATGTTCAGTGTGAATCTCATTCAATGCACAGCAGAACATGACATGTCAGAGCAGAAAATTAAAATTACACAAACTCAACTATAACTAAATAGCCAGATGTTAAGCGTATGTTGTAAAATGTTTCGCGCCTGTTTTCTCCCAGACAGTAATTTAAAACTCTTTCAGTAATGAAGACGGTCCTGCTGGAGAAGATACTGGAGAGAAGATGGCCGTGTCTATACAGACAGCAGCTGGCCCTACATTCACACAAACAGCAGGTATATATAAGTTTGATGTTAATAGAATCAAATGGAACATGCTTCAATAGATTGAGAGGTTGAGTAATGCATCAAGCAATGCATTCATTAGTTTAATCTTAGACAGTTTGTAATTTCATAGGCGTGTGTTTATCTGCATTTCACAATGACTTCAAATGCAGCTCCATTTGATGATGTTAGTAATGTTTATTTATTTTTTATTGATTATCAAAGTAGTTGTAGTATATATATATATATATATATATATATATGTGACCCTGGACCAC